ATATGGTTTATCAATGCAGAAGTTTTGTCAGATTTTCCAAGCTTCTAAGGACAATTTTGTTCCCTAAATATGGCTAAACACATGTACCCAGTGTATCATACAAACAAATTTTAGCAAGAGCTGAAATCATTAAGCTAAACAGTGATGTTTAATTAGCGCTTTGTTACTTTTAACATGAAACAAAGTTTCAGCTTTCAAAATTCTGTCAATTTTATCACATACTAACAATAAATGTGGTTTTGATGCTCTATAATGTGGCGTGACAGATCGCTGTAGCCGTCTCAAGTCAAGCAGCATGCAAACCGATTATATCTTCCTTTTTAATACTAGTTAAAGCATGAAATAAACATGAATGAACATAAGAAGGTACGTTGAAAGAAACAGTACAACTTAGGTTCTCGGTGAAATGAAAACTCTATGAATTCATGAAAAATTCATTTTGGTGCATCACTAATATAAAAGTTAGTTATAATTACTACAACAATATAAGAAAAACATTTTTATTGCATTTTAAGAATAAAAAACAGTTTATGTATGAATCATTATACAGTGAGGACATCCCAAGGGGACGTTTTGCAAGAACACACACAGTGCAGATTGCTGATACAATAAAAACAGACTCATGTTTCATCATTTGTACACCCATGCATGTGTCTTGTATGCACATTTCCCCTTCAGTCACAAGAGCAAAAACCAGTTATTCAAGTTTCACTAAGGTTTCCAGTTATGAAGAATGTGAATTTCGACGTGGCATTTATCTTTTACTTTTGATAAACAAAATTGACAAATATCCTGCTCATCTACTGAAAAAAATAAATAAAATTGTTGACTACTAGTTACATTTTGCAGTGATCTCATAATTGACCTTTCACAAAGACCCGCCCCCCTTAGTTACTGTTGCTACGTCCAACAAGCCACGCCACACATTATATTCTCACACAGTGAAAAATACATCGTGGAGCAAAGAGGACACGGACAACGCGTCGACAGACAAGACAGAACAGGTCACATTTGGTATGAAACAAAGTCTCAGCTTTCAAATTTTGTCTTTTTTTAAAGGGGTCATATGACGTTGCTAAAAAGAACATTATTTTGTGTATTTGGTGTAATGCAATGTGTTTATGTGGTTTAAGGTAAAAAAAAAAACACATTATTTTCCACATAATGTACATTATTGTTTCTCCTCTATGCCCCGCCTTTCTGAAACGCGTCGACTTTTACAAAGCTCATCGGTCTGAAAAGTGAGGTGTGCTCTGATTGGCCAGCTATCCAGTACGTTGTGATTGGCCGAATACCTCAAGCGTGTGACGGAAATGTTACGCCCTTTACCATATTGTGATGCCATGTCAACATGCGCGATGAGTCAACACCAATAAAACCCATTACAAACGAGGCATTTGTTGCATAATTATATAATTACTGATTATAATGACTTATACTGTCTTTTTACGCGTTGCGTATCGCGCCGCGTAAACCATAAAACCATGTTTTAAACCATAAATACCATTTTGTGGCTCTTTAATTTGTTGTGACAGATCACTGTAGCGCCTCAGTTCAAGCGGCACCGACATCAGAGGGTATCTTGTTTCAAATGCAGAAAGACATAAATACATCAATCATTTTTTCAGGTTCAAGTCCACCGACGTTAATCTACTCATGTCTGGTTTGTTTATCGGATAAAATAGCATATTTGGCATTATGATTGGTCAGACTGCCTGTCAATCAAACTGCTGCCGAAGGGTCAATTGCATTGTACAAAAGCCTGTTTCTGCCACAGAATAAAAACAATTTGCAAATTTCTTTTCACGACTCTGAGATTACATCTCACAGATCAAACTTTTCTTTTCACAATTTTGTGGTGGAGACATCCTGCTCAACAGGGACAAATTGTATCAGAATTTGTCAAACAGAAGATGCATACACAAAAAAAGCTTTCTAGTATATTTGCACATTAGGTCTCTTCAAACATTTACAGCAAATGTCAAGATGCTCATCGGGAGGTGAAGCCAACACACTCCCTGCAAAAAGAAAAGAGTGTGTGTGTGTGTGTGTACAGAGAAGTTCAAGTGTGCTTAACCTTACACGTTGGTGCTATAGCAACAATGAGCACAGGAAATGACGCCTCACCTTACAGAAGAAAGGGTCACCTGACCCCCAGTGCCACTAAACTCACACTACGGGGAGGGCCGGGGCAGGCAGACTTTTATGGTCTGTGTCTTCAGGTGTATTTGCACACTGGGCAGTGTGTGAACTTTCCTTAGTGTGCGAGTGAGAACAAATGCATTTAAAGTATAGATCCTGAGGATTTCTGCATGTCATGTGCATGTTCAAAGTGTGTTTTTAGCAAGCAACTCACATTTCCTTCTTTGCCTTTCTCCATTTTCCAAATCCTTTCTTCTACTGTAGGAATGTCGAGTTTGTTTAAAAGAAAGGAGCTCCCGTACCCAGTGCAGCATGGGAGAAAGGGGGGGCTTGTCCAAATACTCACACTTGTGGTCTTTGCACTTGACCACTTGTCTGCTTACGTGACGTATTTCCTGTATTTGGCCCAAGTGTTTAAGTGGGGGTGAAGACCACAAGTGTGTGTAGAACTTTTCATTACCCGAATCGACACACTTATAGTGTTGCAAAAATGCAAGTGTTTACAGATTTTTTATTTTGATTTATATATATAAATATATAAACATCTAAATGTCTGTTCAGTAGTCCCTATAACGGATGACACAATTTGATAATTGTGGTCCATCTAATTAAGCAATTATAAGCAGTTGCAAATGTTGTACAAAATGACGATGGTGCATCTTCTCCTGAAGATTTTGTATCAATTTAGGCATAAAAATAAAAAAAAACACATAAAAAACTTTAAAAACATTAACGTGCTACTAGGTTTCACAGATTGGCACTACTCACCCATTCATTACAGTTCACCCAGAAATGAAAATTGTCACCATATTTACTCATATTTACATATTTACTCACCATCATGTTGTTCCAAACCTGCATGTATTTCTTTCTTCTGTGGAACACAAAAGAAGCAACTTGATGGTGAGTAAATGACAGCATTTTCTTTTTTAGGTGAATATTTGGCCACTATATTTGGTCACTTCAGCTGATTTCTGTGTGACTGACTACAAATGGTAGCTTCAAAACCGAGAATCTACCAACAGCTTTGACAATCAATATAAACAATTGTTTTTTTTTTGCATTTTGAGTAAATACTGTTTAAAATGTTTCAGAATGTTTGTGTAATCTCATCTGCGGTCATTAAACTGATTTCATCTACCAAAAAAAACAAAAACAATAAATAACATTGTTGACCCTTAGTTACTGTTGCTACGTCCGACAAGCTCTCACATCATGTTCTCACAATACATCGATGAAAAATACATTGTGGAGCAAAGAGGACACGGACAACGCGTCGACAGACAAAGCAGGTTTGGACAGAGCAGGTTACATTTGGTATGAAAAAGTCTCAGCTTTCAAATTTTGTCATTTTTTAAGAAATTTAAACAATAAATACCATTTTTTGGCTCTTTAGTTGGTTGTGACAGATTGCTGTAGCACCTCAGTTCAAGCGCCACATGAACGGATCATCTCTTTTCTAGTTATAGCACAAAATAAACATGAATGAACATCAGAAGGTATCATGTTTCAACTGCAGAAAGATGTCAATACACTCCATTTTTCAAGTTCAAGTCCACCGACGTTAATATACTATCCTGTCCGGTTTGTTTATCGAACAAAATAGCAGATTCGGCGTTATGATTGGCCAGATCACCTGTCAATCAAACTGCTGGCGAAGGGTCAATTGCATAGTACAAAAGCCTGTTTTTGCCACTGAATAAAAACAACTCTGAGATTCCATCTCTCAGATCAAACTTTTTTTTCCTCACAATTTTGTATTGGAGACTTTTTTTCTTACAATTCTAAAGAAAAAAGTCAGAATTATGAGATATAAATTTAGAATTGCAAGTAAAAAAGTCAGAATTGAGATTAAAAGTCACAATTACCTTTATTATTTTTTTCATTCCATAGTTTTCAGAGTTGGAGAAAAAAACTTAATGTGTAAACAGTTTAAACAACAGATTTATGTGATGATATTTAATAGAAGGAAAGGTTTGCGTGCATTCATATTGCGTTCTGCAAGTGAACGTCACTTTACTGTGCAATCCCAAAGAGGCACAAAATCACTTTCCCGGACTTTTAAATTAAATGTTCCCTCCTGGTGGAATGACCTGCCCAACTCAATCCGAGCAGCTGAGTCCTTAGCCATCTTCAAGAATCGGCTAAAACACATCTCTTCCATCTTTTTCTGACCCTCTAACTCTAGCACGCTCTATTCTAATTCTATTAAAAAAAACTAACACTAGCTTTTCTAATCTTTTTGTATTCTATCTATTTGTTTTCTTTTTATTTATTATACAATTATCAAAAGCAAAAAAAGGCCTCTAACACTAGCTTGCTCTATTCTATTTGTTTTTCTTTTTATTTATTATATAGTTAAAAAAAAACTTGCTACGTGTACTGCGTTAAGCTAACTGAGACTTGTTATAGCACTTGCATATCATTGCTCTTTTGTTGATTTTGATTGCTTCCATTGTCCTCATTTGTAAGTTGCTTTGGATAAAAGCGTCTGCTAAATGACTAAATGTAAATGTAAATGTAAATTTAATTCATATTGTGAGCATGTCCAATTGATTTTATTAACCTCATAAATATGCAAATAACATTACCCCAGGAGGATAAAAAAGTATGTGTAACGTCAGCATGCAAAATATATGCAGGTTCACAAAGGAATGGCATGCATGTGAATTCATGGCCAGCGGACTCACAAGAGCGTGTCAATGATGCCATGTGCAGGTCAAACATTCACTTCTGGATTTCTTTTAAAAATACAGAAGGAACAAAGAACTTCATCACATTCGAGCTTCCTCCTCAAAGTTCTACCGGACAGTTGTTGCTTTTAAATATGATTTCGCTCACAGGGCAGTGTATGTTTACTATTTAAGTATAATTTTAGCTGCCTGAGGTCCAGCTGGTGTGACATTGGTGCTGCTTCTTTGACCTGATACTGACCTCAAACAAGATGACAAACCCCTTCTGCAGGTCAGAGCTCACCAGACATCTCTCAAGTTTCCTCAATCACATGATCTTCTCTTTGTGCAGCCTTTGCAAATCAGGGCCAATGAGAAAACATGATTAAAAATTGCTATAGGTTTCAAGGTCCCTGAGTCAGCAGAAAAAAGAAAAGCAGAGTAGACACCGTGAATCACTCTGGGAATGGGAAGGAAACACCCTGATTTTGAGCAGGTGTAAAGAAACTAACTAGACCGGCAGGGCAGAAACAACCAGCCTAATGTTCTTGTGTCTGTGTGCACACTGACCATATCCATGTTCGCATCAACACAATGTATTCTGTCATTGCACTAAATTCATTGTTCTGTACTGTTTGCATGTTGTATTGTATATTGTATTGCATTGTGTGTAATAATAATGGAAGCAATTCACCATGAAAAACTCTTCTTAAAGGAATAGTTCACCCAAAACTAGGGCTGCACGATAAATCGCATGCGATATTTAACGCGCATCTTATCAGTAAAGCCGGTTCTGTAATCAGCGGTAAATCTCCATCACGTGCGTGCTTTCACATTGAGCAGCATTAACTACACAGAGCCGTTGTTCACTGACGAGCTGCGCAAAAC